ATACTCATAGGGGGATACCGAGGAGTTTGTGTCTGTACATCAAAAAATTTAACGTCAGATTTCTGAACAGTGACTTGAATTTCTTCAGCCAAAATTTGGGTAGAGTTAGATACAATTTCCTCGGATACTTGCAGATCATCAGCTGATGTATAGATGAATTCATCTATGGAAGACGAAGCAGAAAATTCTTCTGCTAGTTTTCGTTTGATGCCTCTGGACTTGGCTCTGTCGGCTCGTTCATGTGAATGTGGACTTGGCTCTACCCAGGGAAAAATGCTTGGCACTGCAGTTTTCTTCAATCTTTTACTTAAAGGAGTAGTTCCTAAGAATTAAATTATTTAATATATCAATACTTGTTCATAGTACTAGATTATTTATTAAATAATTAATTTATAATTTGAACTAACTTTTTAAAGCAAATAAAACAAATATAAATTTACTAAAATATTTTTATTATTACAAGTATTATTGTTATAAAATTGATGTTACAAAACATGCCCATGTGTTTATTAATTCAACTAAACAGGTCAAATTTGTTTTTAAGCAGGGTGCTAATTAGACATCAATGTCAAAACACAGTATCTTGTACTGGTAGATATGCATAAATTATCAGGCAACAGCATGTGTTCTTTTAGACATGCCTTGTGTTTATATTGTTAAAAGATAATGCGTTTGTAATAAATGACCAGTAATTGAAGTTGTCAGTGGGGAGTCTGCATGTGGCAGTGTCTGTAACGTTATCAGATTACTTCGTATGAGAGGTAAACAAGGGATTCGATATTTCAGTGCATTTCATCTAAGCAAATAAGGCATAAACATTGCTCAGAATAAAATCTATTAACATTACTTTGCACATGCTTATCAAAGATTTCAAAATAAATAAATAAATATTGTTACCATGCTGGGTTTCAGTCAAATAGTCGTCTGATTTAAAATGTGCTCTGCAAACAACAGCATGAGTTGACGGAGTCCAGCTTTGAAAACGAGTTTCACCACGTTTTATTGCGTGTATCCATGCTTTTCTTCTTAACGGATCTGTTGGAAATATATGGCCACCCCGATTACTACAATTCGGCACACAACAACAAGTTTCAGGCATGTTTTACGAGCATGTGTTTGACAGCAGATTGTTTACGTTTTTCTTCGATCGGTAACTACTGATAAGGCGCGAGGGTGTTCCGATACAGGACCGTGTTTGCCTGTGGCGCCCTCTAAAGAAAAGATAATCGGAGCAGGTTCCTAATTGACCGATAGAGAAACCGACATGAACAATAGGTAGTTCTTTGACCACCTCTGTACATTTTAATAGCCTCAACTCTTCAAATTTAAGTGTCAAAATCCGCAGCTGAGACGATATAAATTACTTACAGTCTTAATTATCTGCAACTTTCTGATGAAACAAAAGGACATAAAACAGAAACTATTTCTTTTGCCATACATTTAATTCTTCGATTCAGCAGTTTCCTAGTGGTCAAGAGAATGACCTTGCGGACGTTTACTTTCTTCCCAGTATTGTAACCATATCCAGTAAAGTGATGGAGTCATATCTAAATTTTTTTTGTCTCCAGTCTTGATGTCATCTTTGTGTAATTTACACAAGTATATTATTTATGTACATGTACCAGTGCATGAAAAATATGCTGAATTTATTGGTACATGCTATGCATCATGTAGTGCTTCTTCTAATTTTTTTTTAATCTGCACTTTACTGTAGATCAAAAATGAATACATTTAATGCAAATACAATTTCATTTCTCTTTTATTAAATTTAAATTTTGAATTTCCATTTCCTTTCATGACTCAATAATTTTTTTTATATTTAAAACATACCACTTACAACTCAAACCTTGCAAAATTTTTTGAACAAATTTATATAAACAAATATAGCATAGAACTTAGACATTTTACCTAAATCTTATTGTTACTCTGCTCAAATAACTAATTTTTCTATGTAATTCCACCCATCCAGTGCTACACTTCACATGTAATGTGTATTGACCAAAAATAAACTTGAAAACATGGCATAAAAATAACACTGATAGCAGCATACTTCTATGTGTCTAGAAACCAGGAAATGCTGTCTGGTGGCTTCTAAATTTCAAAATTTTTCCGGGGGGGCATGCCCCCGGACCCCCCTAGAAGGCTCACGCCTTCGGCGTTCGCCGAGTGGTACCTCCTATTTTTGATAAAGTACCACCTGGTTCAAATCTTTTTGAAAGCCCTGCGCAGATACAATGTATGAGAACAGGTAAACCCCTAAAATTACATGGATTATTCTGTGACATGAACGTATTAAGATAATAAACAGGTATTTTAATGAGTGCAGCATTTAAATAAATTTTTTTAACAAATGTAGTTAAAACTTATTTGAATTGTGTTACTACTTATTTTTCTCCAACTTGCCTGTTCAATGCCTCTGTAGCTTCACACTGTTGTTAAATCAGAGGCATAAATAACACGTAAATACGTCACTATTTTACAGCTATAATTCGGGAAATACCCGAGACCAAAGAATAGTAATTCCAATTTCAGAACAACTTGGACACATTCCTAATAAATCTTATTCACACATTATTTGCCGGTGGACAACAATTACTTTAATCTCCGCCATTTTTATTTTTCTTCTCCAGGGATTTGCTAAAACATGCAAATGACCATTGAATGTATATATCCAGCAACAGTAAAGAATTGAAACCATATTAACACTCAATTAGTTTAATTTATAAATTTAATTGAGAGTACATTCACCATTTGACTGTCAACATGAATTTCACGGCTTTGTTTGTTCAATGATGTGTAACACTAATACCCTATATTTACATTTGCCAATGCCTTTCCTTATATGACAATACTAAAAAAATGAAATTCAATTTTCGATGACATGCAGTCGGTCACATGATCAGACTTTCTTGCGTATGGAAAGCAAACTGCACATGCAATTTGGATAGTTCCGACTGTGACGTCACATAACGTCGTAGTAACGTTACGTTGCATTTCAAAATCTACGGTCTTAATCACGCCTTTATTTGTTTGTAAAATGAATGAAAACGTAAAATATAAATATAAGAAATAAAATCTCATTTTTTAGAGTTTCATTGGGGTATGACATGAAGTCGGTATGTGATCAAATCTACTATAACGCCCTTCGGGCGTTATAGAATTTGATCACGTGACCGACTTCATGTCATACCCCAATGCAACTCTAAAAATGATATCTTATTTCTTAAATAACGGCACGTGGGTTTGTTAATCATGCCCCGCAGGCATTTATAAACCAACACAGGTGTTTACACCTTTGCGTATACAGTGTAAATCCTTTATTTGTCAGACAATTTAAATTCAGTTAGAAGCCAATCTTTGTATACCGGTATTTGAATGTACTTCTTGTGTACGAAGAAGCTTTTAATAAACCTTATAATATTAGTTAAACTTATATTACTGTCTTAATTTATATTTCTTTCGCCCGTATTTATTACCAATTCTTTGCTTGTAAATATCAATAAAATTATTTTTTATCATCCGCATATAAATGGTAAAATCACTACAGTTATGATCGTGAAAACTTTCCGTATTTTAAATTTTGATACGGTTGCGGTTTTACTTTTAGTACATGATCGCGACTTCCTAACTTCACAAGATGGATACCGCATGATGCTTATGGATAATACGTTGAGGAATTATTTAATAGATGAAGCAATGTTGTTTTCCTTTGTCATCAACGGATAATTAATGAATTTATTTTGTAAGAAAGCTATAGAATAAATATGTTATTGTTTACCGGGGCATCAATTTTTTGCGAAAAATAATGAAAAAAGTCACAAAAGTGGCACAAATTTGCTTTGAAATTGACGTAAATTTTACTTATTTGGGGGCATTTTTCGTAATAAATAGGTCGAATTTTGAATATTGGTCGACCCCAGCGGTTCTGAGAAAAAAAGTATCGACCTATATTCCGTAAATTACGGTAGGTTATTTTTAAATGTATGTTTTTCATTAAAACTTAAAATAGTGATACCCTTATTCTTTGTTTATAAAGAAGAGATTTGACAATAGTGACGTCTTTGCTCTGTTTATACTTTATAGAGAGGATGTTTAAAGAATCACTGTCTAGTTAGTATAGTATGCCAGGGCATCAACAATAGCGGGAAACATGGGATAATTTGCATAACAGACGAAGTCAGTTATGCATAAATTATCCCATGTTTCCCACTATCGTTGATGTCCCTGGCACACTATACTAACTACACCATGTAGACAGTGATTCCTTATATTTCCATTACATCGTGAAATAAAATTGTAGATTTAGACTTTAGAAATATAGATACAGATTTAAATTACACGAGGACTCCCATGCCAATTTCAATAGTCCTCACCCACTGACGTCAAACACAAAGGCAGCCGCACGAGATTTACATGCAGCTTTTGCCACATTAGCGTCCGACAGAGACAGATGCGCACGAGATTTGCATGCATATTAGGCCTCCTAAGCTCTTGACCTATCAACCTGCCTAATTTACATTCTGGTAGAATTATCAAGAAATCAACTCCGCTAACTTTCAAAGAGTTATCACAGAGAAAAAAATTAGAAATGGAAATATTTGACAATAATAGTGACGTCTTTGCTCTTTTTGTGAAGACTGAAGATTTGACAATAAATGTTACAAGGGACATAACTCTATCTAAAATGGCTTGATCATACCCAAAACAGAACATTACCTAGATATTCTTATGATAAATCTGTATACTAAATTTCACTTCAATATGTGCAACCTCTGCGAAGAAAAAAACGGAAACTGATTGTGGACGGACAGTTAGACCGACTGACTGACCAAAAGCTGCAGATTTAAAAAAGCTGAGACAGATAGATGGACAGACATGAATGCCTTACAATATTTCCACCATCTTAAAGTTCAAGGCCCAATTTCTGGGTATAATATTGATTTTTCTTTTGTTTTTCTACATTTGCAAATGTTAAAATTATGCTAAAATAATAATACTTACTTCAAATTCAACCAAGGCTTGGTGTTTTCTTGGCATCAAAACTATATAGCTGCAAAAGAACAAGTAAAATTTTTAAAACAAGTCCTTTTTTGAAGCAAGATTTACATTATAATTAGTATATATTAATGTTATACCTTGATGACATCATCATATTAAACATCAATAAAATGATCCATAAAAATCAAGCAATTCAGATAACAAATGATAAAATCTTTAACAGCTGCTAACAAATGTGCATCATTTAAAGTAATATACGCCGTATGGATGCCGATTTGTATGTGAAACAAAATGATTAAATGATTTGAAACACATAAAGTGTAATGAAAAAATAATATTTCCACAAAATTTAACTATAAAACTCGTTGTAATAACAGAACAATAAAGCAATATCTGCAATCAAGAATTCAGTCTTTTCATGAATATTGATAGAGGAAGTGCGTAAACAGTAGGTCTAAATATAGACACGTATGTCCACGGGAAATTATAGACAACGAGGCACCTTGCATTTTGACAACGATTATTAATAAAAGGTTAATATGCGTCATAACAGAGTATAGATGGTTGATACTGATTACATTTAAAGATAAGTTATATTAATAGTAACACGCCATCCATGTCAAAAGTGAGTTGTATCTCAAAGGGCTTACCTCGTTTTCTTGACGCCGTGTTTGTTTATCAATCTAAAAGTAGCGACGGCGTCACGTGGTGGATTTACTTAAAAATAGACATTATTCTCCTTGCAGGATAATAAATAATTATAACTTGATAACTTTATAACGAATTTTATTTAAATGGTGTAATTTACAGCATTTTCGTAACTTTTATTGGTAAACAAAATATATAAATTTCCAGCCGTATTTTAAAATGGCACACGTTATAGCGTATATTACTTTAAGCCACTGATTTCACCCAAAAATCACTGTTTCATCATAAAAATTTCCTGTGAATTTTCCTTCAAAAGTAAACAAAATACTTTTCATCCTATTCAAATTTTTTAAATTAGCAAAGTAATAAAAAGGATTTTTAAAAGAAATATTCTATAGTGACTTGACTGTCAATTTTTATTTTTCATTACACCAACATCTCCGACTACCTGACTGTTCCAAACTGCTGCACGGCATCCTTGAGATCCTGTTCCAATATGTTCTCTGCCAGCCCTCTGACATGAACCACTTGTGATGGGGAGGGATTCAATGGATTCTCATCCTAAAAGGAATCAGAATCACAAACTGGTATAAAATAACCCAAGAAATATTTATAAAAATACAATACAGAGTATACAAAAAGACATAGGGGCCACAATATTCACCCCAGTCACTTTAGCCCTGCTATTCTTCGGATTTAATCCTCCCATACCCACCCCAAATAACTATAGTACTGTGACAATGTTTGACACAATTTTATGGCTTTACCCTTGCCATCGGAGGTGCAGAATTTGAACAGGTTTAACTCCGCACAATTTGGGAATGTTTGCATTATAAATATGATATAGTGTGGCCCTTTTCTCTTGAAAAGGTTTTTTTTCCTACTTATATACACTCGGTCTGGTATTTTTTTTTAATACTTTGAACTGATCTGAGTTCTAAGAATTTTAGGGCTATATATAAATATAATCAGTTATTTTGTGCCCAACATATTTCTTGAATGAAATCATACATAAAGATCAGTTCTGGTCAATGTCTTGATGATACTACTGCTTGATAATATTATACCCATGCCTAACTTGATACAACAACAGTCTTCTAAATAACCCAGGAGTTCAATGCCCGGGACCTGGTAAATTTGCAAGCAAGCATGTCAAAATTGCCAAATTACACATGTGAATTTTCTTTCAGTGCATGATGTTTGCATGCATGCCAGCGCATGACGGTGGCAAGGGATAGAGTTTTTTTGAAATGTGGAAAACAATGGTTGGTTGCATCTATATTTCGATGCATTTGAAATTTTTGAAGCGATGGAATTTTTTAAGGAAAATCAATTCTGGGCACAGTTCTGCACACTAAAGGTTAGACATTTTCGTTTTCCCCAACAATTCGGCTCCGAATCGGCGAGGGGTGTAAAAAGTCGTTGCATACCTGGTAAATATGGTGTATTTATATATAAAGGGGGTATATATATCACTCTAATCAAGCATATAACGGCTTATTGATAGAAATTCAGAGGCCTGTGGTAGTAGTCACAAACAACTTTCAATATTTTAGCTTTTGTCACAAAAGAATGTTTAAAAATCACCAAATTTCACTATCATTAAAGTATTTGCATTTTATAGAAAAAATTTTAAAGCATTGGGTATAACAATATCTTACATTATCTCGTCTCTGTCGTTTTGAAACATGACCCTCGTATCCTGACGCCATCTTGACTTCTTTCGTTTTTGAGATTTTGAGATTTGGCAAGCGGTAAATCTAGTCTTCCCGACTCCCGACGCCCGACGGTCCCGGATTTGGGATTTTTAGCGATTTCTTTTTTACCGGTGCACAGAATTTATTCAAACTTTTCAGGCACATTTCCTAGGTTTAAATGAAATCATTAATGCATAGAAACTTTAGGAAACATGTGTTTTTGTTACTAAATCAGAATTATCACCTGCCAAAAAGCGGTAAATCTAGTACTCTGTTATAAATGTTAAAACCAAAAACGGACACCGATGTTTTCGTAAAATCGCGATTAGAAGCAACAAAATGAAGTATAATTTTTTAAAAAATAAGCGGAAAACCTCAGTTACATGCAAGATAATTTGTACGCACTAAAACTCACATATTTTCTCTTTTTTCAATTTAAAGTTATCATGGTTATGCTCATTACACATGTTACATGTAGGCCTATAGCGATGAGCGTAGACGTGAGGTTTCGTAGATCATAATAATGATATTATTTGGGAAGATATTTCTTCTTTAAAAAAGATAGAATTAGTATTTCAGTGTATTGGTGGTGTTAAAAAATATTAACAGTTTAACTTTATAAAATCCATAACATCAATTTAATCACTTTTAAAGTCAGGTTCCTTAAGAATTTCAATTATAGATAATTGTTTTAACATGTTAATGAAGAAGATATAATCACTTATTATAAAGCTTTATTTAAGCAGTTTTAGCTTGGGTAAAATAATTAATTTACTTATCACCCGATACAGTAAAAGTGAAGAGATATTCTGTCAAATTAAAAAAAGTAATTATGTATGGTAAACTGCCGATAAATCAAAGCTATATTAACTATGTTAACTTTTTTTTTTTTTTTTTTTTTTTTTTTTTAATTTAGTTTCATAACAAACACACAAATATACAAAACCTTTCACACATCCTTTCATACATGTTGGAAAAGAAGACACTAAGTATATTAACAATAATTAGTCAAGAACATTTTCAAAATTTGACACATTAAATAGACATTTCCAATTGGACCATCTTTTTTTATAAAAAATATTTTCTGACAGCTTTTTCTTCTAAAGTATAGTAATTGTATAGAACTCTCAAAATATCTTTGAAAACAATACAAGAGTTGTTTCTGGATTGCTGAAATAAATATTTCTTCACTAACAGAATAATCAAGTTTATAGCTACATGATCTTTTTCAAAACTACCAAAAATAACATTCTTTACATCAAATTCAATTCTTTTACCAGACTTTTGAAAAATCCAATCTGACAGTGCCAGCCAAACCACAGAAACTTGTGGACAATAAAAAAATAAATGTTTAATTGTTTCTGGTTCTTGTTCACATATTGAACAAAGTGGAGAATCTTTAATTTTAGACAAGTGTAAGTATTTATTTGTACCTAAAATTCTATGAATAATTCTATAATTGAACCATATCAGTGCTGAATCTTTAGTTAAGTATTTCAAGTTTGTATAAATATGTTTCCACTTAAAATCAGATTCCAACTTTAAATCAATAGCCCATTTGTTTTCACAAATAGGTCTGTGCTGTATTTTAGACATTAAATGATCATAAATATTTCTGGATCCTTTCTTATTCTGACAAAGTATTTTTAAAAATTCAGGTTGGTATGGTTTACCATAAGTAGTTTTTGACAATTGTTTGACATTTGGCCATGAGTATAAAACTGCTTGCTTTAGTCCCTCATAAGTAGTGAATGGCAACTTAACTAAATAATCATTTGTGATACTTTCATAACTAATAAAATTGCCTTCTGTATCAAATAAATCATGTACTACATGGAACCCTTTTTCATACAATGTCTTATAAAATACACATTTATTTTGAATCTTTATCTTATTATTATACCACAATGGTTCTAACAATATATCTACATCATGAAAATTAAAACTTTCTAAAAATTCAGCAAAATAAAGCAAAGTTTCTTTCCAAAAAATATTTTGTATGATTTATGCCCTTTGTTTACAATATTCAGATCCAACCTGACAAAGTTTATTAATATTACAACCAGTAATTTCAGAAAAAATGTTTATCCAGTTTGAATTATTTGTAAATATTCTTCTAATCCATGTTAATTTTAGGGATTTAATAAATGTTTCTATATTAGTCATTCTACATCCACCTCTCTCAAAGTCTAACTGTAACGTTTTTCGGGATATTTTGTCAATTTTATTTCCCCATATGAATTTATACAGAGTTTTTTCTAGTTGCTGTATCCACTGCACACTTGGTTTCGGAAGACAAATAAATAAGTGTGTAAACTTTGATAAAAGAAAACTTTTTACTACCGTTATTTTTCCTAAAGGTGAAATATTTCTTTTAGACCAATGATTTATTTCTTTCTGAATAAGTTTAAATTTATTATCAAAATTAAGCTCTTCCATCTTTTCAAGATTTGCAGTGTATGTTATGCCTAGAACAGTAAATGGTTCATTTGTCCATTTTAATCCTGTATCACTACATAAAGTATTTTCTGTTTTAATTTTAGATCCAATCCAGACTGCTTTTGTTTTTGAAATATTAGGCTTTAATCCAGAGAATTTTGAGAATTGAAAAAGAAGATCAAGTGCACTTTTTAAACTCTTTTCTGATCCATCCAAAAAAAGAACTGTGTCATCTGCATATTGTAGTAGACAGACTTTTTCCTTCCCTATTTTAATGCCTTTGATATTTTTATTTTGTCGTATCATATGTCCTAAAATTTCTACACAAAGGTTAAATAAGTAAGGAGATATCGGGTCACCCTGACGACACCCCCTACCGATTTCAAAAAATTTAGAAAAAATGCCATTTTGAATAACACATAATTTAGCTTTATTATATAGTACTGAAACCCATTTAATAAGGTCAGGGCCAAAATTAAAAAATTGCAACGTATTGTACATAAATTTCCATGATATGGAGTCAAATGCTTTTTCAAAATCTATTAGTAATATCATACCAGGAATATGGTTTTCATATGTGGCATTAATTACATCATAGATCATTCGTGTATTTTCCCCAATAAATCTATCTCTAAGAAAGCCCTTTTGATTGTCATGAATTAAATAGTTGAGAACGTTTTTAATCCTATTTGCTATACATGATGAAGCAATTTTATATGTAGTATTAAGAAGTGATATTGGTCGCCAATTTGAAAGGAATTCTCTTGGTTTATCACCTTTCGGTAATATAGAAATAATTCCCTGTTTCTGAGTTATGGATAATTCTCCCTCATTAAATCCAAAATTTATTGATCTGATAAGAAAGCTTCCAAGATCCTTCCAAAAAAATTTAAAAAATTCTACTGTAAAGCCATCACTACCTGGACTTTTATCATTATTCATTTTTTTTAATGCAGATAGGGCTTCTTTATATGTTATACATCCTTCTAAATTATTGGACATGTTGTCATCCAGAACCCTGATATTAACTATGTTAACTTAATTAACTCGTAATTGTAGACAAACCATGGTCCTTAAAATATTACTGGTAATCTGATCATGTTTTGTCATTGAACACGTAGGTTTTCCTATGATAGGTATAATTTAGAGTAATTCTAAAATAAATCAACAAATAGTAAATTCAAATAAAAAAAAAGGGGGGGGGGCTCCTAGGTAGAACCACGTCAACGGAGTAGAACCTGAGAACACAATGTGGCAATGAGTTCTATACAAGGGGGAAAAAATAAAATATGTGGGTGTTTTGGGGCATACAAATTATCTGGCATGTAAATAAGGTTTTTCCGCTTATTTGTTAAAAAAACAACTTCATTTTGTTGTTTTAATCGCGATTCTACGAAAACATCGGTGTCCGTTTTTTGGTTTTAACATTTATAACAGAGTACTAGATTTACCGCTTTTTGGCAGGTGAAACATCTGGTTAAGTGATAAATACAGATTTTTGTAAAAGTTTTTATGTACTAATGAATTCATTTAAACCTAGAAAATGTGCCTGAAAAGTTTGAATAGTTTGTGTGCGCTTTGAAAAGAGAAATCGCCTAAAAATCAAAATCCGGGACCGTCGGGAGTCGGGAAGACTAGATATACCGCTTGCCGATTTTTATCGACATGCCGATCCCGATCATATATTGTTCACATTTCATCTGGCGTAGACTTTTTTTCCCCTCCCCTGACCGACTAGCAGCAATTAAGCTTCAGAACTGTAGCTCTCCAAAAAATATAAATATATATATATTGAGAGACCCATAGAAAAAATGTATATTTATATTGCGCAGCACAAAAAGTTGCGCCCATTTTTGGTTTTATTTCTTAAAATTCTTACCTCAACATACTGCACATTTTAATCGATTTCAACAAAATCTTTAGACCTTTAAAAATATCAGCTAATATCATAGTTGGCATCTTCACGAAGCCTGTTGGACCGAATAATCTTGCCACTCAAAATAGGCGAAATTCTCAATGGTTTCAAACTTTCCGATTTCAAATCGAAAAGGGTGCTATTAACCATGTTAACAACGGTTATGATGAAGGTGTTGTTGTGGAAATAGGAAAAGAACGTGTTCTTAGGAAAACACAGTTAGTAATATTTTGAGAAGGCAGTTTGAAAAAAAAAAAAATCGGAGAAATAACATTGAGAAACAACGCGCACTTATTGTGCGCAATAAATAACTTTTTTTTCCAATAGGGTGGTAGGGTGGCAGTGTAGCTCTCTGGTCGTCCATCTCAATATTTTCAGATCTGCAGTTACTGACCGACTCGCTAAAATGTTTTTATTCATTTTTATTCATTGTGCATTTTAAAAAATACATGTATATGATGTATATTCGCAAGAGTTGCTGTTTAAAAACTAGAGATACTGTGAGCAATGAGCTCACTAAATGATACCCCCTGCCTCCCATATGATTATAACTGATGACAAAGTCCATGTTTTGCTGTGGCCGGGAAACCCAAAATATTTGTCGGATCAAAAAGTAAAATAGGAGGTGCACAATGGCAATATGTAATAAAGATTCATTGAAAGTTTCATCAAATTTCCTTCAGTGGTA